TTCCTTTGAATTGATTGCGATTTTTAGCAATAATAAAAATTACATGTTGGAACAAAAAAATTCCCTTAATTTTTTTCACTTGGAAAAGCTCCAAAAAGTTTACACTTTGATAAGCATTTATGACTGCCGTTGTCTGGCTTGCTAAAAATACAAACACACCACATATTGTACATACATTTATAAATACATATACTTATATATATATATGTATACATTTATAATTATATGAACTTTTAATTTAGATTACGATAAAAAATAATGCTGAAAGAAAAGTTAATATGAGTAACAATGATACTTAATTATAATTATAATTTTTTTTTAGTCAGTATTGGTAAATTTTGTTAGTAAGAATTAAGAAATCGCTCAAATATGAAATCAAGTAGGAGTAAGTAGGTAACGAATACTAAAAAAAATTTATTTTAGTACAAGGGAAAATTTAAATTTAGATTAAAAAAATAAAATAATCGAAGAAGAAACAAAAAAGAGTTAAAAATTAATAAAGCAAAAACAAAATAAAACAAAAAGCAGACTAAAAATATAACAACAATATTTTTTTTTACTCAAATCTCCATGAATTATTTTTAGTTTTTCTACCAACAGAAACGTACTTAATCATTATAAATTCATGTCATGAATTTTAAATAAAAAATTAAAGTAAACAAAAATTTCATAACTATTAAACAACATGTTTTGTTCATTGCTTTCAATGATGGATAAACCATAGAATACAGTAAAACCGGTTTCTAATAAAGTTATAAAAATAATATTGAAAACAATTATAAAAACAATATGTACTAAATATGTTAACTATAAGAGAACAAATAAATTGCAATGTTAATTTGTATAATTGAAAATTTTTTTATTTAAAGTGATATTCCGTTGCTCACCGAATAATAAATGATATGGGATGGGTTCATATTCTAAAATCGTTTTGTATCATTTTAAAATTGACCGTCAAAAAACTTATCAATTGACATTCATCACAACTTCAAAATTTCTATAATTTGAAAGATGCTACCATTCAAATTGTGCAACAATCATTTCGAAATAAATTTTACGTTTAAACTACAAAATAAAAACCCTAAAATGAATGTAACATTAACACAATAACGATATAGAAACAATAATTATAAAATCATTAAAATCATTTTAAAATGTTGCCAACATTCACAAAAATCCACTGTCAATTTTTCTTCCTTGGCGATACTAAATGTCGAATCTCCATCAACTCAATCAACTTGCATAATATAAAAGCAAGCTGAATGCAAAGGAGATGTAGGTTGTATTTATCGAACAGACCAAATATTTTCTTGTAAGCCATAGACATATTGATTTAACCTTTTAATATCCCACAATTAGCAACATTAAATTTCACCATGTGGAATTTCAAGGCACATAATATGTATGTATGTTTTTGTTTTTCATAACTTCATTATACTGTAGTATAATTAAGAAAAAAAACGCCCCTTAAATTTTATGTTTTTCAACTTGCACTTTATGCATAATTAATTTCTTGTTTTACTTTTTAATATCAAAAGTTAAGTAACATTTTATAATAAGTAGAACTACTTAAACGTAATATCATTTTGACATAGGAGCTTCAAATAAGGGAAGTGAAAATAAAACTGTTGAATTGTTAAAAAAAAAGAAATGAAACTGCAATTAAAGTAACAAAATAATTTGTTAATTATGCAAATTAAAAAAAAAAATATTAAAAATATTTGATTGAAATGTGTGTGTGTGTGAAATGTTCAGAATTTTCTAAAAAATATTAAATGTTTTTACAATTTAATTACTTTTATATTTTCTTATCTTAATTAATGATTTCTTATAAAATTACTTATTATACAAATTTGATTATTAAATCTTAAATAGTTTAGTGAATTTTGCATATTTTATAATTGTAAGTATATTATGTGATAGGTAAGAATGCAATAAGTGAATTTGAAAGCGACGAATTTAATCAGCATTTTTTGTTATACTTATTTCAGAAAGCTACATAACTTAGTTGCATACGCTTTATAGGATTTTGACTAGTTAGGCGGAAGATGTATTCAAAATTTTATATTTATATTTTGACAGCTTAGGCGAAAGATGTAAGTAATTACTGATCATTATTCTAATTTTATACATAAATATATGAATGTAATTCAAATTATGATCCCTTACATACATAAAGTAATCAGATACAAAATGCATAAGTTACTTATCAATTAATAAAGAAATTAAGTACAAAAGCGAATAAGCGGGGACTTCATTTGTACTCTTATTCTTATATTGTATTCGTAGTACATACAAAACAATGCTATAGAATTTACAAATTTCTCAATAGAATTTTAAATTAAAGAAAAATTTCATATTGTCTAAAATTAATAAAACTTTAAAGTAACTATTATTACTGAATTTACTAATTAAGTACTTATTATACAAAAAATACCCTATTGGCCTATAAGATCACAAAATACTATAAATTGTATAGAAATATGATAAAATAATTATACTTTTGTTAAATTTATATCAATAATTACTTAGGAAATTTATTCAATTCTTAATACTTATTATACTTAACTCATATATTTTTTCCTAATTATTTATTAAAGGCGAGACTTAAGTAGGATTTTTAACCGTATTGTGAATTATGTGAACAAGCGTGTAATTTTTTTAATTTATAGTATATATATATATATATATATATATATAAGTGTAGTACATTTGAATAGTTACAAACTTTTTTGATATCTATAAGTAAGTAAGTAGTTAAGCATAATTCTGTGTAATAAATTTTAAATAAATAAGTAATTGCAAATTATAAATTGAATAAAATAAGTTTTAATTAAAGATTTGGTTTTTAAACAAGATACAAAGCATTGATATTTTTACTTATGTAAATATATAAATATATATAATATGTATATATAATTATATAGATAAGTAAATATAATTAAATATTATTGATAAGATAAAAAATTAATAATTTTAAACAACCATTTTATAATCACGTTTTTTTTTCAATATAAATTTTATGTTTGATTTTAATAAATTAATATTACTAAGTGATACCTGGTTATATTTATCGCAAAAGATGAATTGGTTTGTGTTTACAATAACAATCATTCCCACTTAGTAATTCGATACTCAGAGTAAATCCTATTAATTATGATTGCCTAAAATACAAGCTAAGAGAAACATTATATTTCATTTTTTAAGACATAACTACAACTTAAGTTAGAGGTATGTCCGATCTCCTATTTTAACAACCTATTCATATAATTATTAATATATCATATTAATATATTATAATTGCGCTTCTATAAACAAGCCAATTTCCTACTAGTACCTGCTAACTATATATAAAATTGATAATCAATAATTAAATATTGTCTTTTCCGTTGATGATAAGAAAATTACTTTATTTTTAATTAAATCTATATTAAATATCATTTAAAGAATTTCAATGAATCGATCATTTAATATTTTAAAATTTTCTTTATGAATTTCATTCTTATCATTTTGATTATATCTGACTTGTAAAGAATGCTAAAATTTTAGATTATTTTAGGAATGTAAAAATTGTCATTCTGATTAAATTAGGTACGTAGCCATAAATCAAATTAGAATAATTTCAAAAAATAGTAACGAAATTACAAAACTCATTCCAAATAAGTAAGTTGTAAAAAAGTACGGTAATTTGCCATGATTAAAGTCATTTATTCATTTAATTATGTCAAATGATTTTTTAATCCTATTACTAATCAAGCATATTTCTTATTCCTGAAATTAATAACAATCTATATTATCATAAATTCTTAATTATTTTAGAATGTAAATGTAATTCCTACATATCTAAGCAATTTATATTATTTTGTTTCGATATTTTCATACCAAAAATTTCGTTTTATCTTATCAATTTTTTGCATTTTTTTTTATTTTATAATTAAAAAACGTAAAAAATATTATTAAGAAATAAATTAATTTACTAAGCAAAAAAATAATGGCAAGTTAAATTAAAAATTTTAAATGATTAATAATTTACAAAATAATTAATAAAATAAAAAATGTATCTTCTCTCTCTCTCTCTCTCTCTCTCTTGTGCTTATTATAGGGAAATGTAAAAAATATTTTATTTAAATAAAAAACCCTATAATTTTTAAAAATTTATTATTTAATATCGTATATATATGCATATATATATAATTTATACAAGTATACACTAATCAAACAACAAACAAATATTATTAAGTATGCATTAGAGCTCTGGCAGACATGAAGTTTTTAGTCTTGCAACTGTTTGATTGCTTAATTGTATTCCATAGATTTATACTCAAGTGCGCACGTATTCAAAAGTATCATTACATGCAATTAAGCAACGAAAAAGTTTGTAATTTTTTACGGTTTAGTGTGCACAAACTGTAAATGCAAAACTAAGAATTGCATATCTGTCAAAGTCCTATTTTAAAAATGTACTGAAAGCCAAAAACAAAAAAATATATCTTTAACCAACAAAATAAAAAAAATTTAAATGAAAAATTAAAATTATATTTTGTTAAATAAAACAGAAATGAACGTTTAACAAAAAAAATTAAATAACAATACTCTAATGAATGATTTCTAAAATTTAGAATATTTGTTAGGCTCTTAAGAAAATAGTAACTATGAAAAATTATTAATTTAAACGTAAGTAATCGATTTTAGTTATAAAGGGGGTTTTTCTTTTTAAAAATATTCTTATTACTAAATTACATATTTATATTTATATGATAATATTTAAGTACATAATGTAAATTATATTCGACTGATTAACTATTATATTATACTCAACAAAATATTTAATTTAAATATATGAATCAAAAAATAAAAATACTAGATAACAAACAAACCACATTACTAAATTAATATTAAATATTTATAGGTAGATAAATACTACCTAGGGGTATAGGTTAGGAATATTTTCATAAATTAAAAAAAAATATATAATTATATTAAATAAAATTTTAACTTACCTATAATAAGATAATACTCCATTTGATAAAACAAACCAGCGACGTTGATATCCTTTTAAATAATTTGTCCATTTTAATAGCCAGCCTTTCATTTCAACTTCTGTTGAGACTGGAAGTGTTTTTGCTGTTTCAGCCATTTGAATTTAATTCTATTCTATTATTATTTTAATTTTTAATTTTTTAATATTACTAGATTATATAGATAGATTAATTTTTTTTTAGAACTCTTTTTTGATTTAATGAATAAAGCATAGGGTAAACTTCTATACTTCTTTAGTTATTTTTAATAAATTAGTTTGATTTAGTAATAAAGGTTATAAATTTTACAATTTTTTTTATTAATTATTAAATTATTTGTTTGATTTTTTTAAATTTTTATAAAAAGATTATTTATTTTTGTTTTTTTTTTTTTATACTTAGCAAGTGCAGATATTTTAATTATACATATGTATTGTATATAAGTATGAAAAGCTATATTTAAACAAAAATTTATCTATTATAACAAAATGGTAAGTATTAGGAAAGCATATGTAGGTAAGTATATAATTATATTTGTAAGGTAAATTTCCAGTAACAAATTACAATATTGCGGTTTTTTGTTTTTTAAAATTATGTAGTATTCATGAGTAATTATAATTATGTGCATAAATATAGTTAAAAATTTATTAGATTTTTATATATTATTTATTTTCATATTAATTTTTTATTGTAGGTAAGTAGGAAGTTAGGAAGGTATAAAAAATTATTATTTTTTTCCTCTTTACAATTACAAATTAAATATTTTATTAATAAATTTATTCTCCCGTTTATATAGGTATTTTTGTATATTATTTTTCTTAGACACTTTGTACAATTCCTCCTTCGAAAGTTTTTTTATATTTGCATATATTCAATATATTTTTCATTGTTTCCACATTATAGCTATGTGCAATTATTCCTAAAAACACAAAAATATTTAATTTGTACATAAATATTTTAACATTAGAATTCGTTTTTTTTTTTTAACAAAGTAATATTTGTGTTAAATATTTATATTTAATTATTATAATTTTGAAAGAAATATTCCATTCTCATTTATGTAGGTAAATACTTATACATAAGTTATATGCATATATTACAATATAGAAACGTATGTAATTTAAAATAATTTACAATTTTATACTCATAACATGTAAACTGTAAGTACTTGTATGAAAATATAGGTAGGTACTTGACTACATATAACTGAGTTGTATTCTTTTAGAAGGAATTGTATTGTAGTACCTACAATAATTTTTACCTACATAAATACAAAAAAAATAAAAAACAAAAAATCATAATCCAAAGAGCAAACGCTAAAAAAAAGAGAAAATTGACATAAAAATATAAGCAAAAATGCTAAAAAAAATTTGTAAATAGCCTAGGAGGCGCTTTTGTAAAATGAAGAAAAAATCAATGCAAAAAACTTCAACTAGGAAAATAGTGTACAATTAATTTTTTTTCGTAAATTTTGTTTTTTCTTCAAAATTTTCCAAACTAAAAATTAATTACAAATGGTTATTTTTAAATCTTTATATAAAATTCTTATAAACTTTATTTAAAAAAAAAAATTTAATCGCCACGTCTACATAGACTTTAAACTTTTGAGGTAAAAAAAAAAATCATCTTTCTTTTTTTTTTTATTTAAACAGAACGAGCACAGCACTTCCAACTTTTTTCCCTTTTTTTTATATCTAACGATTTTTTTTTCCTTCTTTTTTTTTTATTTGTTCAATTTTTTATTCTCACCCAGTAAGTTTATTAACACTATTATTTTTGTTGTTTAAAACCAAGAGATACACACATATATTTTTGTTTTCCAATTAAAAGATTATTAAGATTAAAAATATTTTGATTTATTTTTTCCCGTCCCAAAAACAAAAGATTTTTTAGATATAAAAAAAATTCCTTAATTTTTTTTTATATTAAAAAAAATTCCGCAACTTCTTCGTAGCAAAATTTTTGACACAAGACAGAGTAAAATCGAATAAGCGAAAATCTTACAAAAAAATAAATAGCAAAAAAAAAAGAACAAAAAATATAATTCTTTGTATGAAAAAAATACCGAAATGACATATTTGACAATTATAAAAAATTTTAATTCTGATACAAGTATTGCCGCTATTTAAATCTACTACACAGTATAGTATTTAATTACAGTTATAATAATATTTAGCAATATTCTACTTGGCACGTCTTATATAAAGTACGTTAACATATTTGTCGGATTATGCTGGATATATTTTGTTGTCAACAGTTGCTGTAATAACAAAACACAAATATATGACGAAATACAAAAGTTGCTATAAAAGTAACTAATCAGCAGCATTTTCAAAATTTGAGTTAATGGAAAATTCATTTCTTCATCTTATACATTTTCTTCATCACAGACATCTTTCTTTCTTTAATTTCCGTTTTTAACTCAGAACAAGAGCAGAACAGTAAAACCAACTATTCAGTTTTCTGTAAATAAATGTCAAACACGCTACAAGAAAACGGGTGATGTCAAAAAAAAACACCAGTGGCAAAATTAAAGGAATTTAGGATATTTTACCACCGGTGGTTAAATTTGCAGCGATACTGACCAGCGCCATTTAGATTTATATGTGTTATTAGACATTTCGAAATTCATATTTCAATTCCATCACTTCTTTTATTTTATGGTTCTGTCCGTTTAATATAATTTGAATATTAAATGAAAAGTGGAATAAAACTGGAGTTTATACTTTGCGGCAGAGAGCATGAAACATAGTGCGAAAACAAAAAAAGAAATAAGGATAAGTATTAATTTAATAAAACTTTTTCCATCCTTGAAAGAAATGTTGATAAACATGAACTGAGCCACATACGTAATGACATAATCCCGGCTGACAGCAATACTTTTGTTTGTCAACCATTAATAATAATGCAAATATGCAATATACATATGTATAATTTTGACATTACATTCCAACCGGTTTGACACTTTTGACGTATTTTCTGATTACATTCTCCTGAAAACAAAATCAAAACATTAATAAACCCATGTATATAAAAAAATTATGGTGTGCAAAAATTTACTAAGATAATTTACTTTCAGACATTTTAATATCAGAGTTAATTTATACCGACATTTTAATACTAGAGTTAATATTGCATTAGGGAGAAAAACCCTTCTATTAAAATAAGATAGAAATAAAAAGTTAAGATTAAGTCGCCAATATTGCTACATATGTACTATTGAAATCACAAATCATGAAATAAAATATAAAGTGAGATATTTATTTGATTAATCTGTAATTTGGTACATATTTTATACTAAATTTAAAGGGCTAAGAAATTCCGATTCCCTCGCAAAACAAAAAGACAGATCACTTGTTTACTATAGAATAATTGGTTTGCCTCGATATTTTTTTCAAATTCCAATTATTTTTTCTTCGTAAAATAGTAAATTCATTGTCAGGTTCTACAAATTGAAATGGAGATCCAGATATACCTTTGTAGTGATATACTCGAAATTTTTTCCTTTCATTCCAATGTCTTATATCCTCTTTATTTATTACACATTGCGGGTCTATTACAGCTAATTTAATTTTTTCCAAATGGGATAAATTTTCACTAGGATCTGAATCAAATTTTCTCCTTTTTATCAGTGGTTTTTTTTTTGTATATAATTCAATGATATCACTCTTTTCAGGATTTATAAAACTATCGCATTCTGTTAACAACTTGACCCCGTTAACAAAGGACTGAGATTTTTTAACTTTTTTAATAGGAGGCAATTCAACAAATTCAAATTTATTTTCAATCATATTTGATAATTTTTTCGCAACAAATTCTTGCATTGTTTCTGAAATTTTCAAATGATCTTGTTCAAAACATTGATTTTCCAAATATCTTTGGGAAGGTATGACTTCTTTGATTGTTTTTGACGGCTCATTACATGTGAATAAATTGTTATTTTCCGATAAATTTGGATGTACGTCTTTTGCATCTTGAATATTCCTACTTTTCCCATAAATATCATTAGGTAGAAAATTTGTATCGACTGCTTGCAAAATATCCTTTATTTTTCTATCATTTATTTCATCTTCTGAACTTGACATTTTCAAGTATTTTATTTCTCAAAATAATTATCTTATATTTTGTTTTTATTTCTCATTTAAAACAGGGGTGTTCCGTATAAGTGTTACCAAAAGGTTTGCTTATAGTTGTATATATATTGAAAGTTACGCAGCACTTTTATTTGACAATTAAGTGAGTCCATATCGTGACACAAACTAGCACTTTTGGCACTGTCGATATAAATTGTTTTTTCGGTCACTCAAATATTTTTTCACAACACATTTGTCTAGCAAATTAAGTAAATTACTAAAAAAATTCTTTAGGAGTATTAAAAATATTCACAAGAATTTTCAGATATATGGTAAATTCTTAAACGTCAAATTTTACAAAATCTGAGTTGTCTGAGTTTACGAATACTCTACTGCGTTTTTATTTTAAGTCAAAGTTTAAATTCTTAAACGTTTAAAAAAAGTCAATTAAGCGTCAAAATTGCAGATTTTTTTTTTTACATGCAGACAGTCTGGACGTTAAAGAATTTGCGGATAATCTAGCTTTGTTTTTCTATGACGACAGCAATAAGTGACATTGACTGACACATGAAAATAGCACAAAAAAATCAATCTCAAAAGTCAAAATCAAAACGTTGCTTGAGTGTAGGACTGTTTTATTAACTTGATTGCTGAACGCTGATCCTTGTAATTAAAAAAAAAATATATTACAAACAAAATATATTATTTTAAATAAACATAAGACATATGAGTCCATTTTTTTAATCTACGCGATATGGCTTCATCCTGGGTAAGAATGGAAAGTTTTTTGAATGTGCATTTTTATGAAGTTAAAAAACAAAACAAATTTGAATATTTCCAGGATAAAAAAAGTATTGATGTTCTACTGAACTACCTGAAAGATAATGAACACATTTATAACCGTCTTCATCCGATGTATAAAACTTATAATGTTATTACAGAATGCTCTCATTTAGCTAAAATGTTCGATCCACCAAAAAATTGTGAGATTTTTATTTTTGATAAATTAATGTTAACAAAGTCTTATAATTTTAATGTTTTTCAATTTAGGTAAAGAAGTGCTGGACAAAATAACTTCAATTAAAAATTTTTTAGCAAAAAATAAAAATTTGCTAGAAGAAGGAAATATGATTATTGAAGATCCTCAATTTTTTAACAAATGCTCTTTTATGTTTTCGGCTTTATTTGGATATTCCATTGGAACGAGTTTAAAAAGAAAATCAGGAAACAGCGATAACTTAAAAGAAAAAAATAAGAAACCGAAAATGGAAGATGTCTGCACGACCAAAAAACAACAGCAAAAAGGTTTAAAAGGCTCCGATAAGGGTATGATAATGTATTAATTTCTATTATAAAATTTAAAAACGATTATATTCGTTTAAAAAGTGCATTAATTCATATTTTATTAAATTTAGTTACCAATACTTTATCGAGGAACCTACGTTCAAATAATATCACCGAGACTAAACGAGATGATCAAAAAATTGTGAGCATAAATTAATTATAAGTTTTTTAAATCGCTTCTAATTTTATGTACCTATATATAGGTTGATGAATTGGAAAGAAAGGAGTTTATAGATGTTATTAATTTTATACGATATAGACCATATTTATGGGACAAAAAACACCCCGCTTTTTCTGAAAATATCAATGACAAAGTTCTGGAAAACTTTGGAAACAGTTTAAATCCTCCATTAACTGGTAAGAAAACTACAATATAATTATGTTCATAATGAGAAAATAATTGTTATTGTTTTGGTTTTCAAGCTACTTTGATAAAACGAAGAATTCTTGCTTTGAAGAAACGATATCTTGAAGAAAGTAAATCCAAACGTGCAAAGTGGCACCTATTTAAAGAATGTGGATTTTTCTCTAAAGATGAAAGCAGTTATAATGATCCACCGCGAAATGGCGACGAGGTTGTAATATTAAAATTTACAGAATCTTGTTATAAGTTCCCATAAAATTTTTAACTAAAATTTTTACTTTTATGCCTAAAAATACTTTAAGATGGATCGCAACAATGATGATTTTTATAGGCTTATATTATTTATCAAAAATAGACCATACTTTTACGATTCAAAACTTCCAAAATATAATTCAAAAATTAAAGACAAAATTTTAAATGAGTTTGGAGAAACGTTTGATCCTCCTGTGTCTAGTTAGTATACTAAAGAATTTAATAAAAATCTTAACATTTCATGTACAAGAATTTGACTTGAAAAAATTAAAAATAAAACCATTTCAGTTTCTTACCTAAAAAATCGTATTGGCTTAGCAAAAGCAGAACTTTTTAAATTTTTCGATGGTGAAAGCTTAACAATTTCGGAAAGGTTTGAAGAATGTGAAACTTCCTTCAAAGAGGATGATGAAAATAGTTTAAAATCAGACACTTTTGATGAAACACATCCAAATGTAAATTACACATTACCACTGTTATTGTTATAAAATCAAAATAAAAAATATGTAAATTGTTTTTTCTTTTTAGCTTGAAAGCGGACCAGAGCAACTTGAAAATGAAATATATTTAGAAAACAGTGAGGAAAATATTTTTCCTCAGACAGGTTATGAAACCAATGATTCTGAAGAAAGTATTATTAGTAAGTAAAATCTAAATAAACAAGAATACATTTCTTAATAGATACATATATTTTAATAATTTTAGCTGTTTCCGATTCAAAAAATGTTAGTTCAAGTGAAGATGATAGTGACGACGATAATGAAAGCACAGAGAGTTACGATGATGTAAGATAAAATATTAATTGCCTTAGTTTTATCATTCAAAAAATAACCAAATGTTATATTATACATTACATTATTCAAGACAAATTACATGGAAAAGCATCAACTTTTACGTATAATAGAATTTATACGCTTTAGAACATTTCTGTGGGATAGTGAACATCCTGCTTATCAAAATGTAAACTTTAATAAGAAAATTTTAAAAGCTTTTGGTGAAACTCTTATCCCTCCAATGTCAGGTAAAAATGAAAATCACAAATAATATTAAAAGACAATTTTAATTAATATTTTTTAGTTGATTCCATCCAATATCGAATCTATTACTTGGAGAAAATGTTTTTCAAAACTTTAGAAGACAAGAATTTTGATTGGCATTTGAAAGACGAATGTAATTTTTTTTTGAAAAAAGAAAGTAACACAAGTAAAACAGAATCACTACAAATTGAAGAGGTAAAAAAGCATACAATCTTAGAGAAATTACAAAATATTTATTTTGTTTGTAGAAAATGGATGAAAACGATATACACAAAATCCTTCAGTACATTAAAAATAAACCGTATTTGTATTATGAAAATCATCCACTTTACAATGATTCCTTGCTTAAGAATAAGACATTAAAATCATTGGGTGAATCATTAAATACTCCTACATCTGGTAATTAGTAATTATAATTTATATAAGAGTATTTTATTAAGTTAACTAACCTTATAAAATATTAAACATAAAAATTTATTAATGTATGTACTTAATAATTTCTTTCAGAAATTGATCTCACAAATCAAATAAACTATTTGAAACAGAAATTTCTAAAGACATTAGAGCAAAACAACATTCCTAAATGGAAATGGTTTAAACAATGCAAATTTTTTATTAAAGATAATGCAGATCTAAATAAGAAATTTTTAAAGAGTGACAAAAAAGGCACTCAGATTGTAAGCGATGCAAATTTATTTTAAAATACTTTTTTTGTTTAAGATTTCATTTTAAAGGAAAAGAAATTGTATAAAATCTACTTTTTAGATTAACACCGCAACTCAAAACAAATCGGCAGCCGTTTGTACACCCCAAATGGACACCGGAGATATACAACAGCCGGAACTAATTTCAAAAGAAGATTCACAAAACCTATTAACAACACAACAGAAACAAAATAAATCGGATTCAAAAAATTCATCAAAATTTTCTGAAAATGTAACAAACAGTGATGTTTGTAAGAATGAAAATTTCGAATTGGTAAAGAAAAAATTTAAAATTATTAAATTGAAGAAATAATAATTTTTTGTTAAATTTATAGAACAATGACACTAATATGCACAAATTCCTTCAATTTCTTAGAGAAAATCCTTATTTTTATGATTCAAAGCAAGAAAAATATACACATTACACTCAAGGGAAGAAAATATTAAAAGATTTTGCGAAATCTTTGGACCCTCCATTATCTGGTAAAAAAATTACAATCAATATTTAATTAAATTTATTAACAAAAATATAAAAAATTTTAGACGCTGTTTTAAAAAGCAAAATAATTTATCTTAAATTAAAATTTTTAAAGTCTATAAAAGAAAATAATAATCCCAACTGGAAGTGGTTTAAAGAATGTGAATTTTTTATTAGAAATGATGAAAAATTAAAGAAAAAATTTGAATCTATTGTAAAGGCGGAGAACATGAATGTAAGAAAGAAACTTTTTCGTTTAATACAAATTAAAAAATATTAATTAATTTTATAACTAAAATATTGAATTAACCTTTTAGCATAATAATAAATCTCAAAATGACTTGAGCAACGAGGTTATTGTGGAAAATGTAGGTATTAATAGAGACATCGGTATTCAATGCAATTTGTATGAGGAACTGCTGGAAGAAAATCTTAAAAGCATCAAATTAAAAGAATGTGAATGTTTAAAAGAAATCTTAGATATTATAAAATCTTTTAATCCAATCGACAAAAATTTTTCATTAGAACCTGTTACAAACAGTGATTATTCTAATAATATTGAAGATGATACTTCAAATTTGAAGGATGAAGAATTTTTAAATATTGATCTTGAAAATGTATTTAAAGGTTTAAAAGATTCCGCTGATGATTCTAGTGATTATGGCTTAGAAGAGATTCCATTTCCAAAAATTGTACATTCCAGAAAAAGAACAAAAAAGGATAATTACAAATGTGATGAGTGCCCCATAATATGTACATCAAAACATTATCTTGCAAGACATAAGGAGGCATTTCATTTTCAACACAGTCTTTTATGTTCAAAATGTGGGAAAACTTTTCCAACACATCGTAGAGCACAAGCTCATGAGAAACGGTGTCGAGTTTCTCGAGATGAAAATCTATTTTGTTATCTATGCAAGCAACTATTTTTATCAAAAATTGTATACGAAGATCATTTTAATGTAATTCATGATAAAAAAACTCCATATGCTTGTGGTTGTGGTCGAACGTTTAGCAGGTACTCCAAACTTGTACATCATTTAAATATATTTCATTGTAATATCGATCTATGTACAATACCACATTATGTATCTAAAGAGTATCTGAAATCGTTTATACAAGGAAATGATGTAAAACCAATTGATTATCAAAATTGGTGTAGAATATGTAAAACAAATTCATGTAATAGAAAATCATATGTGTAAGTTAAATTTATGTAATTAAATTGATTTCACTAATATTTTACTTTTTATATAGATCTCATTTTAGAAAAGATTTTCATATGAAAGCTGAAAAAAAATGGCTTGAGGAATTTGGTATTAAAACATTTCAATGCGAGATATGCGAACATAATAAGAGTTTATTCAATGATATTGCAAGTTTAGTAGAACATTGTTTACAAATACATCGTAAACATATTCATAATGATTTTTTTGAAAAACTTGAAAATATTTCTTCTAATAAAGAAATTTTAATAGTTCCACCGACTGATCTCCATAATATTTATTCTACTTGCCATATATGCAGTAGAAAATTTTTTATGGGTTATTTTGAAGATCATTTTAATGAAGAACGTCATATACAATTGGGGCAGAAATGGTTACAAAAGTACAATATTGAGGAGATACATTGTAACTCCTGTTTTAATAGTTTTGGAAATTTACTTGACTATTTGTTACATAATTATTCCAAACACAATGAAGTACCAACTAATAGTATACTAAAAAATATTGTGGGTGAACAATCACTTGAAAATCCAGGAGAAAAATTGGGTAAAATGACTTATAAATGCTTAATATGTGATAGCAAACCACTTCGAAAAGGTACTTATATTATCCATATGTTACGTCATTATCCAGAAAAATATATTCAATGTTCTTGTGGAGAAAAATTTCATGCAGTCCCAGATTTAAAAGTTCATCAAAAATTATCGGGATGTGTTGAAAGAGGTAGTAAAATACCAAAATTCAAAGTAAAAATTTAAATACCTACTTTGTTTTGCATGTCTTGATACATTAATTATTATTTTAAGTTACACGAGTTGTTATAAAATAAATTTAACAATGTAACTTTATGATTTCGTAATTTTCTAGATCTTGTTTAAGGTATAAAAGAAGATATAAATTAGTAATACAATTTCAATTTTCCGAATTTGTACTAAATGTAAGTTCTACTGCACATGTATATTGTTAGAAGTATTTACAAATTCTTTCTTACAACGCTGTAATTACTTTTAATAAATCCAATAAATATAACTAAATCACGATTAAATTTTTATTTAAAAAAATAATAGATATATCAAAAAATATAATGCTAATTACTGGCGATTCAAAAATATTTAATGACTGGTTCTGCATGTACATATAATAAATCCTAAAACTACTTATAATGTGTAATAACTACTTATAATAAGGAATTAACTATTTTATTTTATTTTAAAAAAAATTAATTTTTCTTCTGTAACTGTGAAAGAACATCCATTAAAAATTGATACCTAATATTGATTTCATTTTCTAATCTTCCAGTTAATTTTTTTGCAATTCTATTCATTAATTCTTCGTGTAATTCAAAACCTAACTTTACTTCTTCTAATATAATTTTATCCTCTTCTCTTGTCCATTGCTGTTGTGTTTGTTGAATATCGCAAATTGATGTATTTTCGGAGTTTTCAGTTTCACATTCAGATTCGTTTGATTCTGGTTGATTTTCAGAACCGCTATCTTGATTTTTTAATTTAGTTTTCTGAATTTTTCTTTTCCTTACTTTATTGGATTCTTCTAATTGATTCTCATTGATTTCTTCTTCACATAGAGCTTTAAGTTTCCTTGCAGTTGCAAAAACATTTGATTCGTTATTCAATGGTTTTTTTATTAAATTGTTCGGTACAGATAGCGGAGATTTTAAAAAATTTTTTTTTGGAGATTTATACTTATCTTTGTTGTTGGGGCAAGACATGGTTGTTGTTCGAGCAAATTGTTTTTTTGGTGAACATTTGCCATCTTCAGAACGATTTGCTTTATAAAAATGCCCAGTAAAATTTTCTGTAGCGTATAAAGAAGGATTTAATCTAACAGCATGCATGCGTAATGTTGCTTCATCACAAAACTCATATTTTGGATGTTCTTTTATTTGATCATCGTCTTCTGACTTTTCATTTTCACTACTGTTTGTATAACTGTCTTTAACTCTTAAATATTCTTCTCCAAGTTGTCTTATATCATGAACGCATTTCATTTTAGATAAGGGTTCATTATAAATTGAGCTTTTATCAAGCTCATCATTTGCATGTTCAGCCATGAAAGATAATTTAGCTGGAAGCAATAATCTTGACCCATAAAATATTCTACCATTAAAATACTTTAATTGACATGATTGCACATCTGTTGGAAAATCATCTATTAAATCTTTTAGTTGTAAAGTTTCATATATTATTCCATTTTGATTTGAATCAATTTCTTTCAGATTCACAGTTTCATTAATTTGTAAAATACTTTCGGGAGGTTTTTCACTTGGAAATACTTGCAAAAACCAGTCAATAAGATATTGATTTCCTTTCAAAAGTGGTAGAATTTTGCTCTTAATTTTATCTAGTGTGAGATCATTGTCCTCAGATAATTCATTTAAGCAATTATAAATTTTACGAATTTGTGCTGGTTGTTTATTAAAATATATATTTAATTTATTGATAAAAGTGCTCATATTTGTAACTATGAAATGCTCAAAAAATTTTCCAGCTTGATAAGCTTCTGTTGGCTGAAGAAATGTCAAAAATATTTCAATTAAATCTGGATGATTTGGAAGGAAAAGTTTTTCTAATTTTTGATATAAACCAACAGCATTATCATTCTCTGGATCAAAAGATTTCAAAATACTGACAAATTTTTTAAATTTATGTTCTTTTCCAGAATTAACAAATGTTTCTTCGACCTTTTCAAAAAAATTATATGCATAAATTGCATTTTTCTTCTTAATATCCTGATCATCTGGATTGTCAGCTAATAACATATGCCTTAAATTTTCTTTTAATCTATTTGCTTTTTTCAATCTAGCTGCATCCTCGTCATGTTTGCTTTTTTTAATAGGAAGTGCTGTGTTTGGATCAAGACAATCTCCTTCTAATTTAGTTTTTTTCAAACTCATATTGAAAAAAGAGACTGTAATATTTTGTCTTAAATTCTTTTCAAGAAAAAAATACTTTTTCTCAGCCGATTTATTTTGTGTACATGAAAATTTGATAAATAATAAATTATTGGATTATGATGAGAGTCGAGTAGTGTCTGTTTTGCTAATTTGGATAAATCAGCTGTAACAGCAGGATTGCAGAAATCATAACAAATTTACTCATCACTCTCAGTGTTGTCGTTTCTGCAATGTCTTGTATAGTAAATTTCTAAATTCACTCAATTTTCGAGTGGTAAAAAACAAATTTGCTAAACAAGTTCCTTTCTTGGGTTACTTCATGTCAACCGCACATTAGCATAAATTTAAATTTAATCTCAAACAGGATCGGAATATAAAAATCTGTTGAACTTTCACACATGATTCTTTTATAAACTTTACGTCAAACTTTTGACAGCAAGTCCAAAAAATAGTTCACTCCATTTTGTTTTCAAAAATTTGGCTATAAATCTGATTTATTTTGATATCAGACTTTGATTACACATCAGTTTTTCATCAAATTTAGATTTAATCAAAAATTTCATCTGTTGTGTTACCACCTATTTTTACCTATTAAACAAATCAAGGAGTTATCGGTGCAGTCAAAGCATATAAAATCGTACTACCGGTAACGTGTGAGTAAAATGATAACAGGTAAACATAACACCCGGCCATTTTTAAATCAACGGTTGACATAGATTTCGCTTCCTCTTACCGCTTGAACTTTTGAATTGGTCATTATGTGGATATTTTATAATACGTGGTTATTTCATATATTTATCTTAAATTTTAAACTTAACTACGTATGTATGTATGTATGTAAATACATGTAATTTTTTTTATTTAAATTCTTTCTTTATTTTTTAATTGCGACAATAAGTTAATTAAAAAACTATATCTATCATTAATTTCTATTAAATTTCTGTTAGGTAATTTTTCAGAGATTGATTTTATTAAATTTTCATTTGTTTCAAAATTCAAACTTGCTTCTTCTAAAATTGTTCGATCTTCATCTCTGCTCCATTCTAATACACTTGGTTTTTTATTTTTGATTAAATTCTCATCACTTGGTTCTACATCCGTACAATCTGAACTTTGTTTTATACCATTATCGTCGTTACTTTTATTTTTTTTAAAGATTTTTTCATTAGCTGTCTTGTCTTTTTTCAATTCAGTTTTAATAATTTCTTTACTTTTATGTATTGCTTCATTTTTCCTAGAATTTTTGCACCGTATTTCTTCATTTGAAAAATTTAAGTCCTCCCTTAAGTCGTGTGATATCTCTTCAATTTTATTTCCATTTTCATTTAGATTTTGATGCACTGGTTCATCAAACAATGACTTTGTAGAATTATCTTCATTAACCAAAAAGTTTTCTTCACATTCTGCTAAATTTTCATTTTCATTGAGTGAACTCCTTTCACTTCCATCATTTGCCCGATTGTTAAAATTTTGCGATGTGCTTTTATTATCGTTATTATTTTCGCTATCTAAGCTAATATTCTCAATTAAATCCTTGATATTTTTAAATTTACATTCTTCCTCCGATTTTTTATTATCGATTACTACATTATTTTCGACAATATTACGTGCTCTTTCAATATTATTTTTATTCAGTTGCGAATCATCTAAGCTAATAACTGCAATTGTTTTATTATTTAATAAAGAATTTGCTAAAGAACAAAGGTACCCTGGTAATAATACTTTTGAAATTGATGTTGAACGAGCATCAATATATTTTAATTCAGAGGGTTGAAGCTCTGATAAATTGCTTATTAAATCGCTCACTTTAAATGTGATACTAGTTTGACTGGAACGAATATTTGAATTTTCCTCAAGGTTTTCTTCAACGAAAATTTGCTTTAACCATTCTTCTAAAAACTTGTCACGATTTATAAGTGATAATAATTTTATTTTTATATCTTCCGTTTGTAATTCTAAATTTTGTTGGTCTAACTCCATTAGACAGTCATAAATTTTTGGAATAACTTCTTCATACTTTTCAAAATATCGATTCAAATTTTCTGCAAAATTTTCACTATTTGATATCATATAGTTTCTAAAGAAATTACTTGCTTCAGACGCTTCAACTGGCAAAAGAAAATGTAGAAATATTTGCGCTAGATCAATATGGTCCGGTAAAAATATTTTTTCCATTTTATTATAAAACCATAAAATTGAATTATTTTCTGGATTAAAATTTTTTAAAATAGAAAGAAATTTTTTGAATTTCAAACCTTTTCCAGAATTGCAAAATTTTTCTTCCACTTTTTCAAAGAAGTTTTTTGAATTGATTATAGATTCTGATTCTTTACTTATATCAAAATTTTTTGGCATTAAAATTTGTACTAAACTTTCTCCAAATGTGCTTATTGTATCCGAAGATGATTCTCCATTTTCAATTCTTGAAACTTTGAATTGTGTAGAATTAGGTAAACAAGTGTTATGACATAAAATTTTTAAATTTTCAAGAAAATCGGAATAAATTTCAATTTTTTTAAAATGTATAAAACATTTTTTTAAAAATATGTTTTTGTATTTGTTGCACATTTGATATAAGTATTTCCAATATCGAAGTAATAAATTTTGTAATTTATTTCGCAAACATTTTCGATCTTTTAAGCGTTTTATAATTCGGAATGATCGAAAACCATATCTGGAACGTCTAAGAGAAAATTTTAATCCTTTATTTTGTAACTTAAATAATTTAAGTAAACGTTTCTCTTTCTGTTCATGCGTTGGTACTGAAATTTGAGATTGCAAAGTTTTCTCCGATATAAATATTTTACGTACGTTACTGTTATAAGCTATTGATTCTGATGATTTGGTTGTTTCATTTTTATTTGGGGCTAAAGAAAAATAGTCAGTTAAACGTTTTTGATCAGTACTCTTATCTTTTACTGAATTATCTATAGTAAAATCATTTTCAGGTTCTATGTTTTCTATGATTTCATTATTAGTAAACTCATGAACTTGCACAGGATTAGAATTTTCTACATTATTTTTAAGGGGATATTGAACATTTAAATGATTTAAATAACTAGCATCGTCTCCAAATTTAAGATCTAAAGGCTCATGTATTTTTGTAAAAACTTGAGAATAATCTGTTGTAGATGTTCTTCTCTCCATTTTTGTTACAAGTGCTGTAGAACCATTATTATTATTATTATTGTTTTGCATATTATTTGGTTGAAAAATACGTTCTCCATTATTATCATATTTACTAGGATTTTCTAGTACATAATTTAAATTAATAATTACATTTTGTCCATTCGGTTTTTTATTTTTTAGTTCTCGTGACCTTTCTTTTTCTTTTTTCCTTTCTCTTTTCTGATCTTTTCGTTCTTTTCTTCTTAGTTTTAGATCTTGTTTAGTTTTTGCCCATACGATTTCGTTAGTAAAATTGTTATTACCTTTTTGTTTTATATCGTTCTTGTTTTCAGATGCGTCAAGTTCTGTGGCGAATTCCTTCCACAACATTGGTAATTGTTGTTTTTTTGCTATCGGTGGTAAAATACAGTTAGGGTCAAATGGTTTTATCAAATGTTCAAATGGGGGTGCTTTTCCTCTTTCGTTAAAATATTTAATTGGATTATAGTTATCACTTTCTAATTCTTGTTTATAAAAATCATATAATCGTCTACCAGATTTTCCAGTCATAATTTCATTGGAAATTTTATCGCAAGCCAATTTAACTGCACTAGTTTTTTTGTGTGCGTTTTTTAATAAATCTAAAACACCAGGAAGATACTTCTCTAACTCAAATGCTAAAAGATGAGATTCTACCGGCGCTAGATCATGATAATCAGCATGACTACTGCTAACAAATGGTAATCTTGGTAAAAATTCTGGATATAAAAAAACATTACTTTTTAACACTAATTTCATAGTTTTAGGCGGAAACTTAATAATTCTATGACTACGAGGTCTTCTATTTAATTCAATCCGTTCGATTTGATGGTGAACAAAATCCATAAAATTTTGATTTTCTTCGTTTTCTTCAGATAATTCGACTTCCCAGCAGTTTATTAGTTTGATAGCATTCTTTAAATTCCAGGCATTGAAAGCTGAGTTTTCATTTAATGAACATTTGCTTTCTAGGTCTAATAGCAAGTCTTTTTGCGATTTAGCTTTTTGCCAAAATTGTGGATGACTGTAAGTTTGCAAGTAGTTTTGAGTTAAAATTTGGACATGAATTCGCAACTGCTGTTCAAAAAGTTTCTTTTGATCAGAGGTAAATCCAATTTGTGTACTGTCGTAGTTGTTGGTTAATGTTGCGAAACGAATATTATTTAATGTTGTATTGTACTTCCTCTCATAGAACATTTTATAGTATTTTTCTGCAGATTTATGTGCGTCACCTTTCCACATTTCAAAAAGTTCTGTATGAGAAATGAATCCTGACTTAGTCCGAAATGATGATCCGTATAATTTTGGCTGTGGAATACATGTAAAATCGCTCGTCAAATCTACAATATCGCTGAATGTTGTTGTGTTTGCATTCAAAGTTGCAATTATTGGCGATTCATTACAAAAATTGTTGTTCTTGGGGTTTATTAAACTAAGTGATGAAATCGGAACTTTTTTGTAACAAGGGGGACCACCGTTTGCAGGGTAAGCTATTAAGGTTACTACACGTTGATGTGACCCTATTATTTCATTATTTACGGATTGAGGTTCAATACTATATGAAGATATAACCCTGGATGAATAATTTTCATTATTCTCATATGGACATACTCGAGCGTTAGGAGATATACAATTTACCAGTGTTGTACTTGAACGCATTGGAGTATAGTTGGATTGACTGTTAATATAACTGTAATCAACAACTTTTGCTTGTGATAATTCTTGTGTTGCTCGTATTGTTCTTGCAGTTTGGGTATTAATAAAAGGAGTAGACATAACATTTGGAGAAAATACTGAATCATTTTGATTATTTATCAAATGTTCATTCACCTCCTGACAGTTTTGAGACACTACTCCAGTTGTATTGGAACTTACAGTAATTAAGTTTTCAGACCGCACTGGTTCATTCGCCATATCCAAATTGTTATCTGAAAAATGTTCATAGGTTGGTGATGTAAATATTGGCTGAGATTTAATACAAAATTTGCTTTTTTTCTTTTGAGGACTTTTAGTCACTGATCTTTGAACAATTACTTCATCTGATATTTTCCTTGGAGTTTCAAGCTCAGGTATATCTTCAAGAAATACGCCTTCTTGTATTAAACCATCAAACAGTTCGGCTACCAAGTCACTCAATTCTTTTTTAGAAATATTAACCTCTTTCAGTTCTTCAGCATCAATTGGAATTTTGTCAGCAGCAACATACTCCGGATCTTCTGGATCATCTTCTTCTGCATTTGCTGTATGATTTAATGGTTTTGAAAATTCATTCAAAAATTGTGCCCATTCCTGATCGATTTCGTTATCGATTTCATACATGTCTCTTGTTATATCAGGTGGCATAAAATTTGATTCGATAGCTTCAATTGATGTTGTTTGTAAACATAATTTTGATCTAGTCCTCTTAGCAATTATCTCATCCTCTTTTGTTAATCCACTAGTAGTTCTCTCTCTTGGTATTTTGAATACTCCATCACTGGAATATTTTTGTGATGTTGATTGAAACTTATTGGGAGATTCAGCCTCAGAACAATAGCTTATATTTGCTAATGGTGTTCTAGGTTGTGAATCGAGATCTGATGTTGTTGTATTAAAATCATCTTCGGAATAAACATAATCTTCTTCTTTAGGTTCATATTCATCATCTTCGTCATCAGTGTTCATTTCTTCAGTTATTAGGGCTGTAACTTCTGGTTCTGGTTCAATTTCATTTAACGATGGCAAACTAACTGGTTTTTTATTTAAAGCTTTAGCTTTTGCTCTGGTTAATTTTGGTGTACTATCTATACTTTTATCATCTTTTGAGGGCGTTGAGTTCCCATTTTTAGATGGAGTACTTAGACTTTCGTTTTTATTCAGTTCTTCTTCTTGAAGCTTAACAAGGGCTAAAACATGATCATTTCCCACAATTTTCCTTAGAAGTTTTTTAACTTCTAATGGGGATAGATTATTTCGTTTTGCACATTCTCTCAGCTTTCTTTCTAATGAAATATCAATTTCCGACTCCTTTTCCGATTCCAAATCAATATCATCGTCTGAAGGTGGCCTTTTTCTTTTTCGTACTTTGCGGCACCGGGATTTTTCTGAATTACTTTTCTTTTCAAAGGATGGCGATATACTTTTCCGGTTTTTACTAAATGATGCATTTCCTTCAATATCTGCCATTATTTTTATAAATACTTTCAATATTAGCTCTCCTTACAATAATTTAATAAATTGTAATATTTATAATACATACTTATTTTAAAAGTATATAAAATTTCCCAAAGTTTGTTTTGTTTGGAAATTGACAATTGACATTTCTATCTCAGAAAAAAATTTTCTCGGTTATTGCCAAACAATAAAAAAAAATCTCTAAAAACTTTCAAAATTATACATTTTACACACTCTGAACTCTTTTTTATTTTGAACTTAAAATCACAACGTTATAAATGAAACTTTTTAGTAACTGATAAAACTAAATTTTAAATAAAAGATGGTTGAAATATTTTGGGTCGCGTGTAATAGATGCATGAAAGTGCAATACAAAAATTTTTACGAACCAAATTTCTAGCACATAAAGTTAATACATTCATTTGTTATCGCATGTTGCGGTGAAAAATATTGAATTTTCTAAATTTTGCTGTTCACATTTTATTCTTTCATTCCATAATAAACCCACTCCAATATATGATATGCATTCTATAATATAATTGTCGTTAGTCCTGTTCTAATTCAATCGATTTAATGCCAGTAAAATTATTAGATGGTCACACCGAAAACATGAAGTCATGTGACAGTTCTTTTGTTTACTTCAATTTGAAATTTACAAATGTTTATTTATATTCTCCACTCTTACTTTTAGATTTATAAAAATTCTGAGTGATAACTGATTGATTAGGTAATATGTACAATAAATATTAATTTTTTTAAACTGATAAGAAAATAATGGTGTTTATTTTAGAAATGAAGAGAATTTTAAATTTAAACCCTAAAAGATCAATTAATTGCTATAGAAATATATCAAGAAGTACTAATAAACTATATCAAAAATCGGTTTATCAAAGTCAAGTGGAAAAAAATGGAATTTATGAAAAAATTGGTGGTTTAACCGCAAATTTTAATTTATTATCAAAAATAAACTTTTGTCAGACAAAAACACAGATATGCTGGAGTTGCGAAAAAAGCATAACATGTGAGAGTCCATTCTTGTGTGATTCTTGTGGAGTAATTCAAAATGTAAACAAAAATGTTGTAAGTTAATGTTTGAATGTAAACACTAAAATCTACACACATATGCACCTATGTACCTAACCTAGCATTATTTATTTTACTAAAAATTATATCTCTATTTTCTTATATAGGATTACTTTAAAATTCTGTCTGAAGAAGAAAAATTTAATATTGATGTTACAAGTTTGACAAGAAAATTTCGAAATATACAGAATGTAGTACATCCGGATAAATATAGTAATAAGTATAATAAATATGTTTGCTCACTTTAGTGTAAATTATAAAATAAAATTATCTGTTATTTAAATTATGCTTTTAGATCTTTAAAAGAACAAACAAACTCTCAGGAATGGAGCTCCTTTATAAACAAAGCTTATAAAACCTTGCAAGCACCTATAGAGAGGGGCATATATTTACTAAAATTGAAAGGTATCAATATGCCACAGGACAACAGCTCATTAAATAAAGAATTTTTAATGGAAATGATGGAACGTAATGAAGAAGTTGAAGATGCTACTCCAAATCAGTTAAATGATCTACTCCAAAAAATAAAAAATGATATGATCATAGAAGAGAAGAAATTAAACAAAGAATTTCAAGCAAATGAATATGAGTCAGCTAAATTCACTTTAGTTAAAATGAAATATTTTAAAAGTTTAGAAAAAAGTATAAAAGAAAAGTTGGAAAACAATTTGTAAAACAAACAGTAATACAAATTAAAAAAACAAAAATTTCATATGTATGTATATACAAAAAAAAATTAAAATTTATTGAATTAAATTTTAATAGAAATTAAAAAATTATTGTACCTATAAATTCTGTTGGTTAACTAGTCTTACTAGGATTCTAAATCCGTTTATAATTTAAATGTCTTGTTGTTTTTAATATCAAATGTTAAATTCTTGATACAAAAAATTTAGGCTTTTATTATGTTTAACGAAATTATTAATAAACGAATCGAATACAATATTACAGCTTAATTTATTTTTTATTTATCGTATATATAAAACATACATATTGAACGAAATTGAATATAATAATTTCAGTATATTATATATTTATAGTGAATGAAAATTAACTATCAAGAATAAAGGTGCCGCTAAGGGTCTTAAATAATAAATGTTCAATTTTCCATAACTAGTTACCATGCAACTATATATTAATAATCTTCCATATTATAGGGGTTATTACAAATTATTCGGCTATAAACATTTAGAATTTATTTAAGTATTACATACATTTACAAGACATACTTAAAAATACAATTTTTATCCTTCAAATAATAAAATCCTTACTTCAACTATTGATATTCTTATTTTAAAAGATAATATTTTATAGTTAAAAGAAGTACATTTAGTACGTTGTTACCAAATATATTTTTAAAAAGTACATTCATTATTTAAATAATATAATTGGAACTCTAGTAATCTCTTCTGGAATTAAGTTATTTTATGTCATACAATATTTTATTTTTTCGAATATATTCTAATGAAACCAATTTACTACCTTCAATCCTCATTATACAATTTGATAATAATGGATGTTTAATTTTAAAAGTGACCTACGTCCTTTTGCTATTTTAAAACTTCTTTATTTCCAAAGCAATGATAATGCCAGTAGTTTAAATGTAAGGTTATGTAATTGTACCAATCAAATAACCAGTTAACAGAATTTTTGGTTACTTTAAACCCAGACAGATCAATATTTCTTTTTTATTTGAAATTGCTTTAGGACACTTTCAAAATTATCTATCCATATAGCCTATATTACACATTTTTTGCTAGAAAATAAATTTCTTACGTCAATTCGTAACTCAGTTTTTGTAGTCAGATGCAATTATTTTTTATTCTAGTTTTCTTTTTTTATAGATCTTTTTATTATATAACAAAATTATTTATCATACGCATTACATCTTCTATAATATGTACATATTATATAATTTATTTTTTTTTTGAGTAATAAATCTTATTTGAAAAAAATTGAAGCAATAAAAAAACCATCCAACGTCTTAACATCAAATACCATTTTTTATGATCAACAATAGAATCGAATCGTAAAATATTCTATAATAATTAGAATTAGAATTTAACATTACACAGAATTCGGATATATGAGTATAATAGATTTTGGTAAAATAAAACGTAAATTTTGTCAATTGTATAGTTTGGAAAAAATATCAATGTAATGCTAGTTGGTCTACCATACCCAATTTTGTATTTTCTTCAAGTTTCCTAACTAATTCTTAGGAAAAAATTAAAATTTAAGAAGAACCTATTATAAACCTATCTATAAAAGATTATGTTGGATGAAATTAGAATTGTGTAAATTCAATATTATGACTGCGTGCCATATGTGTGTATATTTTATTAAACCAAATTTTTTTTACTGGGGAAATAAATCGTAGTTACTGCATGAAATTATCATGGATACAAATTACTTTTTTTTTTCAAATTTTTTTTTTAAATCTTAGTAACTTTAATAAAATAATTGACTTTGCTTTTCTGTTTCAACTATTTGTCATACTTTTAAAGATTTGTGTATACGCAATTTGAAATTGAAAATTTTCTTTTAAGTATAGTCCCTGCTCTTTTGAGTACCTATTGCTTGGAGCCTCAAGTCACTTCTCGCAGTCACTGCCTTCATTTCCTCGCTCTCATATACAGGCCAAAAATAACCTCTAACCTAAAAGGAGTTGTAGCACACAATGTATTAGTCATCTCCACGTATGCCTTAGCGTCTTCCAGCAACCCATTTAGCGAATAACCATTTAGCAGATAATGTTACTTACCCTCATTTATTGTGGCCTATATTTTGTAATCCTCACTTTGCTCTGGTTTTTTCAATAAAATGTATATTTTTTTGGTAAAATTATATCTAATGACATCCATGTACAAATTAGTTGGGCATTCCGAATATAGGGATTTTTTGTAATAACCTCTACTCTATAAACGCTGACAAAACAGTTGCACTATTACTACATTTTCTCTTCTTCTTTACTGGAGAATTTTATTGTAAAGTTCAAATCTTCTCACGTGCCATCATGATATAAAATGGTATCTTTTGAATTTATTATTTGGAGGCCTTTTTTGTGGTCAAAACTATCATTTTCGTTAAATATTACTTATGCTTCTTTTTTAGCTTTTTTTTATTAGTATATTACAAGTTTATCCTTTGAATTATCCTTTTCTTAGTCGATACATATATCTAAAAAAAAAAACAAAAAAAAAATAAATTTATTTTAGTTAAAATTGACATGAAATTCGTGAGGATTTTCATTTTTTCGTCTTATTTTTTTATAATTTAGTTTTACGTTTTATTATTTTTGTGCGGTATGTACTTTGCATGCATGTATGTTTGAGCAACTGTAGAAATACATACTTAAAATGCCGTAATTCTTTGTCGTAATAATTCTTTCTAGAGCATGTTGTAATGATATTGCAAATGATGAGTTAAAAGAGAATTCGGATATTTTATTTTATTGTTTGGGGCAGAGAGAGATAATAATACGTAAAAAATTAAAATTACAGAGTAAGTGAAAAAATGAGAAAAATTTTGATAATTTATTCGATTAAATTTATTTATTTTTTTTCACAGATATCCGATTTATATTTTAATGAGCTTGCAATTTAACAATTGAGTTATAGCGACTGCATTCGTTTATGGAAAATGTACTACTAAATATCCAATTTGGATAATTAAGGAAGGCGACATTTTAGTAAAACCGATCTGAAATGCGCTTAATACTAGCTTATTTTTTAAAATGAGGGCCCTCACTAATATTTTTTTTACCTTAAAAATTAAGTTTGAGTTTTATTTGAGTTGAAATTCAGAAAAAAGGAAAATGAATGGAAAAATATCAGGCAAAAACAGATGATGCTACTTAATTAAAGAAAAGAAATCCTGATTCTTTCTGTTCCTGATTTTGGAAAACCACTTATTTCGAAATTTAATTAAAATTAAATAAGAAAACTCGTAAAAATAATAAGCGAATACGAAAATCTCTTCTAGTTTAGCCAAATTTAGCCATTAACGATTCTTTCTAAAACAGTAGTATTGAAGAATGAAAACGATTTTTGAAATTTTACATTTTTTGTATTTGTTTGATTAGGGTTAAAGTAACGAGCGAAGAGTGAAACATTTTATATGGTATAAAATTCATTCACTTATTGAAAAATAATTTTTATTCACGAATTTTTATTTTCTTAGGAACGCCATTTTATTTGGCATGTTTTTTAAGATCTTTTGTAAACTTAACATTAATAATAAAATTCAAAAAGTAATAAAATTTTCTCATTTCATGAATTTTGTTCGTACACTAAAAAAATATTCTTTACTTTTTTTTTTGTTTTCACTTTTGTTGATTTACCATAAAAAATGGAAAACATTTGAAAAATAATATCAAAATTAAATTTGGTTTTATTAAAATGTTAAAAAAAATAAGGTGAGTTAAAAAAGTTAAAATTAATTTTTTACATTCTGTTTGCATTCTGTTGTGTGGTTATTTTTTTTCCTTTATATGCCATGAATTCCATGAGGCATTCAACCGATCACGATTAAAATAATTTTATTTAATACTCTTTAATTTTAATTTTCAATAAAGTGGACACAAAATTAAAATTTTCCTCGTAAAATTTTCATTTTGTTTTCTTTTTGCACATTTTTTTTTTTTGTTTTGCGTTCATTTTGAGTTTTCCGTACGTAGAAACTTTTATTATTTATTTGTTTTTAAGCGGATTAAATTCTCCTTAACCAAAAAATAAATTTTTGTGTAGGTCGTCGGTATATACAGGTTAATATATAGAAAATGTAAGATAAATGACTAAAAAGTATATTCTAGTAAAAAATTAATATCCAATTTTTTCTTTTGTTTTTTCGGGAATCAAGGGCTTTCCATGTAATAATTTTTTTACGGGGTTTTATACGTGTTCTTAAGATATTGTATTTGTTCTTATGGTAGGCTGCCCTTTAAAATTTGTTAGAGTATTTTTATAGGCATTAAATAGAAAAGTATTTTGATTTTTTAAATTGGAATTTTTTTTTTTAAATTTTAAAAATTTTTAAACTCTAAAATATATATGTATTTGGTCAAATAATAAATTGAAAATATTCTATGGAAGTTCTAAAAATCAATCTTTTCTCGAATATCGTTCTGAAGGGTTCCATATTTTTCGAGTTTTTATGAAATTTTACAATTACAGGTATGGTTTGCTCAAGTCATTGGTGACATTAGAAAATTTATTTATGAATAATTTTTTTTTGTTATAATTTTGAATTGAATACTTATTTTATCGGGTGTGTATTATTAAGCAAGGTGATATTGTATGATAGACCAAGTTAAAATTGTACTTTTGGTTAGACCCACTCATACATTTTGTGTGATCAAACCGATCTTTGTAAAATAATATATGTAAATTTTAATTTTCTTGGAAATGTATATCAGGTTTAATAAACGATGACGGCAATTCGGTAATTGACAATCAAATCAAAAAATATTTTTTTTTTGCAAATTTTTTTTTTAATTCTTTGTTGATGTTAAAAAGGCATTTCTATATTTTTCCTTTTATATATAGAATAATAAATACATAAAATTTATATTAATAATAAGAAATTAATATTTACTTGGACATTTACTTCAAACTTTTAATCGAAAAATCAATTTTACATTTTCCTATATATATGTATGTATATATATGTATATATATATATATACATGCATAATATATATACATACATACATATGTACATG